GGCGGGTGCGCAGGGACGGGGGCTGGGTAGAGCCTTTCACCTCCGGCCTTATACAGGTGCGTAAAGATGTAAGGGACTTCGAGAGCTGCGTGTCAGTAGCACGAGGTGCAGAAAAGTACTGTTAATTTGTTTTTACATATCTTTACGTATATTCCACCTGACTTCATAGCATAATATCTAAGGACCTACCTTTTTTGCATCACAGGAATTAATGCCAAGTAGTATTGAGGCCGCCAAACCCGAGGCAGTAAATGTTCAGTAAAACCTGCCTAAATAAGATGACAAAAGCCCAACCAAGATCAAAGTTTTTGAAAAGCTGTCTTTGCAAAAAACTGACATCTGGGAGATGCAACTCAGCAATGTTTTGTTAAAGCAACGTTGGGTAACTTTGTTGTGCCTTTGCAGCTTAATTCGTTACCACTGTCTCTGTGTTGCTTCCTAATAGGTAGATGCCCATATCTCAAAAATATCGCCTTTGGCTCTGGCACTGTAGCTGCTCAGAAGTGAACCAGCATGAAGGATTCAGACCTGCCTTCCTGACATGTAGTTGTTTGTACTGTAGAAAAAAGTTTTTCAGACACTTATATTTTCTAGTGCCATCCTTGGCTCTGAAGAAACACACAAAACTTTATCCTAAAAAATCCTAGATCTGTTATATGCATCACTTCTCAGTATAATGAAAAATATCTTTTAAAAAAACCCACCTCTTCTCCTTTTTTGACTGTGGTAAAGCTATGTACATAGTATTCTTATGTTATGACTGTTGGACTCCAAATACTAGGTCTTTTGGAAAAAAAATTTGCAAAGGTATTCAGGAGCTGGGCATCCTTACATGTCAGAAAGATGGTAAAGCTAAGGGGGATAATTATTTTGCTTTCAACAGTAACAAATTTTATTGGTAGCGGATACATTTTCAGATAATGCTTTTAAGGTAGTTGCTAAGAATTCTGTGTAGCTAGTAATGTTTATTTTAAAATAGTTCACGTTTCTTAACATTAGATTCTGCAGCCTTCTGCTTGCATTTCTATGTCCTTCAACAAATCTTACTCCAATGTTCATCATGCATCTTCAAAGCATCATCGTGTTAGTGATGCACAGGTGTTTTATGCTTATGCTTTTAAGCCTGCATTTAACTAAATGTGAACATTTGACAAAAAGGGTCTATATGTGCAAAGTTATTTTTGTTTGTTTTTTCCTACCTTTATCATTTTCTTAAAAATAGATTTCATTTTGGGGGAAATTGGTCTCATGCTGAAAAAACTTTTAGGGGAAGACTTTTTACTGTATTAAAAATGACAAGGTCATGGCTTGTCCTAATACAGGGAATGCAAACTGTTACAGTTGCTGCTTCTAACAGCTGTGCCATAAAGGCAGTTTAATGCATCCAGCTCAGTAAATATGGCAGAAAAAAGATGATCTTTAATAGAATTTTGATTTTCTTCTTTAGAGATGTCTTACATACTGATTTCTTTTTTTCATTAGGCAGAAGATCTCTACTTTCTCCAGCGTATGTGGACAGCTCAAAATGGGAAAAGAGAAAAAAAGAGGAGCATAGCCTGGGTGAGAAGAGTTTCTTCCTTTTTTTCCTCCACTTGACTTATTAATTGCAAACGTAAAGTCTAAAATCATTTTAGACTAGCTCATGGTCCGTGAATCATTCAAAATAAGCATATGTATGAAGTAAAATGCTTCTGCGATTCTGTGTCAAAATCTGCCCTATATGTTAAAAATCTCTTGCATGTTCAAACCTATATGCAGAAACAAGTCAGAATTTGCCCAACTAGTTAATATTTGGTTTCCATTAGGTGGTTTTTTTTCTTTCACAAAATACAAAGATTTTATGAATGTCATATTTTTATGTCTGAAAATTAGAAGACTGAGTGTATTCTTTGTTGAAATTTTAAAACATTTAGTTTTTAATTGTAATGCAGTGTGAAAAAGCACCTATTACATAAGTATTGTAGGTCATTACTGTTTAAAAATGGTATTTTAAAAGAACATTTTCTTCACAATTTTGCAGGAGGAACAATTGTATTTCTTATTGAAATTCTGTTATTTCTGTGGGGGGAGAAAAATATTTCAGATAAGTTTTATATTGAGCTATGATACTGAAATCCCTCTTGGGAATTTTGTAGGTAAACTCTTTGGCTAGATTACATGTCAGATGACATTCCACCATCTTTCTGGTGAATATATTGCATGGAAAGCATTCATGACAAATTTTTTTCTAGGCTAAAGATACAAATACGTTATTTTATGCCATGAGTGAAATTGTCTTAGAGAATCCCTTAATACATAATCTTTATCTTCCATTTTTCATTCCTGAGTTTTATATGCCTTGGACTATATTTGTTAATTGTAACACAAATTATTGGGCTGGAAAAAGAATCAACAGATGAAATTCAAGGGCTTTTGTCAGGCAGGAAGACAGACAGCGATCAGAATGACGTCTTCAGCATTATATACGTTAATTTATTTTTGTTACTTGGCCATGAACTGATAGGTTGATATTGTCAACATATTTTACTCTGCATGGGCCAGAACCAGATGGTGGGTGCTCATGGCTGTAGCCTGGATCCTTCAGAGACTGTTGTACCTTGTAACTCTTTATGGTCAACGGGACTGCTCCCCTCTGTGCAAGCCCTTTTTGGATTGGAGCCACAGACATTAATGATCTGGGATGTATTTGAACCATTCACCTCCAGATGAAAAATGATTCCTATTTTGACCAACGTCCTAGGCAATAGAAATCCATTGTAAAGAAAAACGTTGCTGTACAAGCGCTCGTGCAGTCAATGCCTGGCTTCACCCAGGCTTGCCAGGACCTTTTGTGACTCTTTGGCTAGCAAAGTTCTAGCTGCTGCTCTGCTAAAGACCTTGGTCCAAAGCGGACGCCTGCTGCATGTTCTCTGAAGAACTACTTTGCATTTTCATTTTGTGCTCACAGAAAAGAGAAAGCAAGTTAACACAGTGCCAGCTGCATTAGCATTTTCAAAGAGGAGACAGCACCACAGACATCTGCTCCGTAGCTGTCAGTTGTATGGCTGCACATGCAATCTTGTGTGTAGTAACTGGTGACTATAGCTAGAGTAAATTCGCTGTATTCGGGAGATGCTCTTTTATCTAGGTATTTCAAACACTGTTTCAGAATTGTTATGCAAAATTATGTCATGAGAATATATCACTTTTTGTTTAAATTTAGTTCCATTTCTCTGCTACAGTGCTGTGGTGCCATCCTGGACTCTTAACTCATTTACTGTGTCCGTGTAAGACACAGTAAGGCTTATTCTCTACTCCATAAGAATAAGTGCACATGACTGTAGTCTCAGTTTAGCATGAGTGGGCTTAACAAATCTCAATACTGGAAAAGGCATGGGAAAAGGCATGTGTTTTGTGTACAGAAGCACACTTATTCAAAAAAGTAGGGCTTGAAAGTGCCTTAATTTACCATTTGTAAACTGCTGACTGGTAGGAAGATATCTGCTTAGTAGTAATTTGAAGTCCACTTACTAAAAATTAGTTATCAAGGAAGCAGGAGGCTTGGCTGGACTTAGATTCTCTAATGTTACAGTTGGTTTATCACTAACAAGTCAAACGAGGTAACGATAAGTGTCTTGATGACAAGCACGGAGATTATCAAAATCCAAGGGGATGGCAAAACGCAAGTGACATAGAAAAGGTATTTTTGATTAGAAAAACTTGTAATGAAGTGGCTCATCACCTATCTGAGAGGAACACCAGGTGGCGGTGCTGCCTTTGCAGACTTGAATAATTTCCATTCAAAGCATTCTTTGGTACAAAGCTGTAGGTCTTTCCAGAAGCTACTAGGGATGTGGATATTGTGGGAAATGCGGAACATAATTTGTAATTTGTACTCACCTCAACTTTCCTTTATATTTTTCTTGTGGCTATAAAACAAATCAGAGCTTTCTTTTATGAAAGCTAAATGTTTGCTTGTGAGTTCTGCCTGTCATCCCTAGGACAGGTAAACTTTGGGTGACAGTTCTATCAACATCCCAGTTGCTGCCCCATCACTAGATTTCAGCCCTGTCCTGGAGGGATCACTAGTAAGAGTGAGAGGGTAGTTCCTATTCCAAGACCTTGCATAGTGGTCGAACATTCCACTTGTCAGAGTGGTTACATGCTGTGGATAGGCATACACTGGGAATCAAACTGAAACTATATGGATTTCATAGGCCACTAGATAGGTATTAGATGTCGTAAACAATAATTTGAAAGGTGAGGGACTGCATTTTTCCAGTTGGTATTCTGAACCATCCAGTTGCAGGAAGCAAGAAATTGAGCTTCTGTGAACAAATGAGAAAAAAAAAAAAGCGAACATGAAATCCTACATGCTGTTCTAAAGACAACTGTCAAATCATGCCCAAAAGTGAAGTGACCTCTGCTTAGACTTACGGGTTGTCTGTTAGTTTGTTTAAATCCATGAGATTCTGCAATATGCACAAGTATTTTTGTAGGGGGAATGAAAGTTTTGTAAAAGTTAATTTTGGAGAAATTCATTTTTAGACAATAGTTTTGAGAGAGTTGATATGCTAGCATCCCCTTTGGTAATGACTAGCAGATAAATAGCGTAAAAGTACTTGCAACATAGATCTGTTAGAACGTACATATGATTTTACTTTGGTCATAAAAGCACTTACTTCCTACGCTAATGTTAGCACTCCAGTTTTACTACCAACAGCGCTAAAAGACTCAAGCGTTCATGCTCTTGCATTCTAGTATTTCTGTCCGGGTGTTTTTAATTGGGAGAAAGCAATAATGTTGATTACTGAACAGCAAGTTACAGAGCAAGCGTGGTTCACAGAAGGTAGCTGAATTATTTCAAATCATGAATCTGAGAAAAAAAAATCTGCTCTTAGACACTCTTCTAAGAAAGCAAACCAGGAAAGGATTACTCACTGCAAATTAGGCATGTCTAGAAACTAGAGCAGAAACTGCAGTTTGTCTGGCAACAAAGCTAAGTTTCCAATTAACTTGATTTGTCTCTTATTCTTTAAGGTTTAATCAGCTTTCATTTTATCGTGATTCTTACACCAGTGCTGATGGATAAGTGCTTCATGTTGCCTTCCATGCTAAAGTTTTGATGGAGCGTTCCAGCTTTTCAGACAGCACAAAAGGTCAATCATTGAAATTCTGCACGTGAACACTCCCGGAGGAGGCCTGTGTATAAATGGCGAGCGGTCTTGGGATCCTGCACTCTTGACGTTGTATTCATTTGGCTTATATTTTACCTAAGTCTGTCAGTGTTTCCTGAGATGGGCTCTTCAGCTTCATGAGCACCTAGACAAAAGAAGTCCTAGGCTCGGGCTGAGTGTTGCCCGTGCCGGTCTTAGGCATCACCTTCCAGTTCTCAAAGGGAGATGCATGACAACTCAGTGAATTTGAAAAAATAGTTCTGGAGTAGATAAATGTGATCCCCACCTGTACAGTTGTTCATCTCAGAGTGACATTGCCATGTTATTAAACAAAGCAGATTTCTGAGTGAATACTTGACCAATGCTTTTTTCAGCTATCTCTGAGTGCAGATGAAGGACATCAGCTGACAGTTGGCTTAGCATGTTTAGGCAAACATCTAGCCTTTTTCTGATTCCTAACCTAATTTCTGATGTTGTTGGCTGCAACATCTGTTCTGTCTGACTTCTAGCACTACTGGGAATGCCCTCAAAGAATTTACATTGGTTGTGCTTCATGTGGAGTGGAGCCATGCTCTACCATGACCATCATGAGTGGTGGAGAGAAGGGACCTATAGAGTAGGGTACAGGCACTTCTTATAAGGCTATTCCCGCAGAAAATTCTTTACCATTAAAAGAGTTGTCTGCTGTTATAGTGATTGTGCGGTAGAGAATGGCCTTGGTGGCCCACCTCATCTCACCGTCCTGCATTGTATTTCATCAGAGCTGATACTCCCTCAGTGCCCTTGCCCCAGATTTCCTTTCTTTTTCATGATCGCGTGGTGTCTGCCTTCCCTAAGCACGAGATACCTGCATGTCAGGAAGGGTTTTTTTTGTGTTTTGAAAAGCACCCCAAGTGCCTCAGGAGGATGCTATGTAAATAGAAAATACTCTGGTGTGGAGTGGACAGCAACATTATCTAATCTAGGAGTTTAACACTTAGCTCCAAACAAAGACTCCAGCGTTTTACTGCAGCAACAATCTTTGCATCGCATGTGTGTTGTAATTTACAAAAGTACCTATATGATCACAGTAGCACTGCATGCGGTTCTTGCTATTAGAACTGCATGTATCCCTCAGTATTCACTAGTGGTACAGGAGTGTTTTTAAAATGATGGTTAGTGATATTGCTTGTTCTGTGGACAATGCATTCACAGACTGCATCCCTCAGAGACACTGAATGTTATTGGAGCAATGCTGCTTCCTTATTACCTGTCCTTGCCAGTTTTGCCAGAGTGGAAGCGTTAGTCGATTGTGATGTGATGCTGCAAATTATGCCCACTGATGTTTCATTGAGGTGTGGAGTTCAGATAACCATTGTGACCTTTGCAGAAAATGAATTGCAAAGTTAGCCAGCCCATCAGTTCTTGCAGCATGGCCAGTGGGGCTGATCCAGAGGTGTAAAAGGAGGCTGTTGCTGGGTTAAAAACAGCTAGAGTCTCCATATGCAAAGGATAAAGGGAAGTGCTGGAGATAGAGAGAGAATGCATACGGTTGATGGTGCTGGAAGGTGCAGGAGGATAGAAAGTGTATGATGGATGTCTCTGAATATTGTAGATGGAGTGCCATCAGTATGGGCTTCCGGAAAGAGGCAAACAGCTCACACTGAGCATAACAGTAAACAGCTCACTCTTCCTGGGTCATCATTATTTTCCAGGAAGAATACAAAAATAAAACTCCAAAGTATATTCATTGAGTTCAGTGTTCGGTTACCTGTTAAACAGTCAAAAGCTTCAAGTTCCTGTGTAGTCAAATTAATATTGTTATATGACTGCTGGAACAGAAAGTTAATAAGGTACTGGCCAAGTGCCCAATTTGATTAACTGGATTTCTTTGGATTGCTGTTTGTGCCTGTAGGGTTCATCAGAATGGTACTGCTTATTTCTGTGTCTTGTTGTTTTACCATAAATTGAAGGAGAAACCCACCCCACAAAAGCACTGTCTAGCAAATGCTAAGCTTGAAAGCAAGTGTGAATTTTCAAGACGTCTACTCAGGTTTTTTAGCTATCGCTACAATATAAAATCATAATGTTGAAAATCCTTCCGTATATTATTATTTTATGGACAGTATTGTTTTTGTACAACTTCAGAATGAGAATTAAAGAAGACATTATTAGAGAACCAACATTAAACTTCATGGACATAGGCTCTATTCCAAGCTATATGATAGCTCTGTAGATTTTCCTGTAATCTCAGCTGATTAAGCACTCTTCTTTTGTTTTCTGCAGCTGAATTAGCCACCTTAATGGACAGAACCTATGAAAGAAAACTGCCTGTCAGCTCTTTGACAATAGCCCGGGTAAGGAATAAATTCCAATCATAAAGTGATAGGAATGACAATAGGATGCTTATGAAATCAAGTGAGCTCAGAGGGGATAAATGATATCACCTCTGCTGGGAGTTCTGGAATCGTAAATGTCTTATTATGCTGTTAAATTGGTGTGTAAAACTGTCTTATTGCTACTTTGTGCTCATTAGTTAATATCTGGACCGTAGGCTCTTCCGAAAGGAAATAGGTTGTTTTTCTGTTAGGTAAAGCATTCAGTGAAGTGGGGCCTCACTCTGTTACTAAGCTATGTATTTCCATGATATAGGTTCCCTGCCTTCTTGTGTTTCTGTCTTTGTCAGGAAGAGCTTTAGCACCCCACCCCCCTGAGGCACTTTGTAGGAACCCAAGCTGCTAAGGGAATGCATTGGATTAGCACACTGCCTATCTGCGTGCATCTTCCTATACTTCCAGGCTCCTTTGGGAGTAAGGCAGAGGTGGCTACGTTTTGCTGCTACAATTTTCTTTCCTCACCTTAGCAGACTCTGACAGGACAAATGTTAATGTGGGTTACATGAACCCCTTGCTCTTACTGGAATTAGTAACCAGAGCCATCCTTTGGATGGTTCAATCTGGGGAGGAGAAGTGAAGGCAGAAACGCAAGATGTGCTTTTAAGTTCTCTAGGTAAGTGGTGTTTTGTACTGAGAAAGCAGAATAAACTTGGCACTTCATTTTCAAAATCAAATTTCAGAATTCAAAATTATCCAAAAAAGCTGAATCGCCACCGTGGCACCTCAGTGACAATTACAGTAATTCGGATCTTTGGTACCAGTAACTGAAGAGTTGTAGAACGTTTTGTACCATAACCAAAAATTGTTGATCATTTCTTCTGAGACGACGTCCATGAGAGAAGTGGATATTCTTCTCCCCTTTTGTTATTTAATCAGCTTTGTTCCTTTCCTTCCTCACGCTCCTACTTTGTTTTTTCTGGAGAGGTAGCATTTCCAGGCTGTCAAATAGACCCACATTCCAATACCTGTAGCTCACAGATCAGAGTCTCATTTTCTAAAATATCAATAAAGTATACAGGCATGCTATTGCCATACTCAAAGATGAGATCTACATGTAGACAGTGTGCAAGGAGAATTAAGAAACGGGAGGGCGAGACAGCTGAAACTACTGTTTTTAGCATACTTTTAGGATAAAAAGAAACACTGACCTGGAGATCATGGTGTTTGTATATTCTGAGCTAAAGGCATTATATAGAGGAGTCTCTGCAGTGTTCCAGCATCTTTATGCTCATGTTAGTTAAACCTACAGGAAGACAGGATTCATTGTTACCATAAGACAAAGTCTGGCTGAAAATGTTGCTTTTATTTAAACATTTGGTAGCACTGAAAATTTTGTAAGATTGCCTGGCATAGATGAGGTTTTACATGAGAGGAAAGTTGTACTTAAGTGTTGTGGAGGTATTAGTCTTTTTTTTTTCATACTGTTATTTATTTGTGCTCTGAGAGATTCTAGGCAAGATTGAGACTAGTGAAATACAAGCTAGTGTTGCCCCTGTGCTTCAGAATTTATAGTATGAATAGGCAAGACAGGTAAATGTTAGGGAAAAGAATGCTTTCTAGAAAGAGGACTAAGGCTTGTGGAGAATTACCCAAATCAGAAAGAAGAGTTAAGAACTAAACGTGGATTCAAATTAAAGGATGTGATTGAAGTGGAAAAAATTCAGAGGGGAGCAACAAAAGTACCGGGTGCTGGATTGTATGGACATTATTCTCAGATGGTCTCCATGTTTTCAAGTTATGTAGCATTTCTTAGAGGTAGTTTTAGTCTTTTTAGGGTCATTTTTAAAAGATTTTACTTGTAGCAAAGTGGGAGAAACCTGACTAGCAGTAAGCAAAGATTTGAAGACCTCCATTACTGTCAAACACTTAGATATGCAATGCAAATGTACTCCATTAATTCAAGTGGCATTTTATTCTAATATGCTTTGTGGGTGCTCCCTCTGAAGCTTCTATTTCTTATTTTTCAATCAGTTTGTTGATAACATTTCTTCACGAGAGGAGGTGGATCAAGCCGAATATTACCTTTACAAGTAAGTGTCTTTCCCTCAGACTTACGGGTCTTTGAGACATATAAGAAGTCACCAGGAAGTCCTGCCATTTTAAGACTCTGACTCTTTCCAATATATTGGCTGTTTCAAAATATGTACATCTCCTTGTCTTATAACTCACAGTTGAGGACCTTCTTCGTCTGCTATTGTTATGACTCCCCTCTTTCCTGGCTTTTGGCATTTACTGCACAGAGCCACTGAACAGCTAATGCATCCGCCAGCTGTGACTTAAATTAGTGATACTGAAATTGTAAGGAATTTTGCCTGTTTACATTTTTTCCTTCTGTTGCTTTTTTGTTGGTTTTTTTCCCCCCTCAAAGTCACAGTTTAACTAAATTGGCTATGTGTATGTTTGCATGTGTAACTGTAGGACTCTGGGAAGCTTTTAAGTTTGTTTCCTCAGAGTGAGCAGAACGGAGAACTGGGTTGCTGTGGTAATGATCAAGTCAGCAAGGCTAAAGGAAGTATGGTTGTTTATCCCCTTTGAACTTTATGTGTTCCAAATAAGCTGTGTAGTTCACCTTATGCAAAGGTTTGGGAGTTTTTTGCAACTATTTTTATGTTGACTGAAGTGTATTTGATACCTTTTCTGCCAGCATCAAGTTGAGTGCTTGCTTGCGTCAGATCAAAACATCTCAGTATTGACTTTGAGAAGGCAGTAAATCTTGCTGATCACTAAAATAAATAATTACTTTTATGGACGCTTACACACACATTGGAGAACTGGGTTTCCTAATGGAGAAAGTAACTGATGCTTTCCAAGCCTATGAGAAAACATTTGCTTTACAAATAATGTCAGGTTGTTATTTTAACAAAGAAATTTACCATCTGACTGCTTTAAGTGTATGTATGGTTGTAAGTGCACAACTGCATTAAACTTCAGATCTCTAGTTATGAACTTCTGGTACTAGCAGGGAAGTAGCTGAACTTCAGAACTTCAAGATGGAAATGAAAGAAACCCTGTTTGCTAATACTAGCAATATCCTAAAATGAAAAAATAAAAGGAGGAGGAAGACTCTCTCACAGAGCACGGGTTAGTGGAGCTTTCCTTCCTTCTGGTCAAGGTCTCATTAATGCTGTCAGATAGACTCTATGGGGACCCTGTATTATGGTACTTTCCTCTTCAAAAGATATTCCTTAGTGGGCAGAAATCAGTTTTCCATTCTGCAAAAAGTGCTAATTAGAAGAAGACAGAAGAAAGTAAAGCCTGTTTAAGGCAAGCCCTTTTTTTAGCTTGTTTTAAAGGTGTACACTGCCAGTACCTTTTGTTAAAATATGTGACGATTCTAATGTAGGTTTTTCCCCGCAGATTCCAGTTCTTGTTGGTCAAGTTGAGCTCTGTAGGGTAAGGGACCTTCTGATGCCCAGCCATCAAGAGGAATGTATGGTAGTTTAATTGTTCAGTCTCAAAATTGTTTAGACAAAAACCAGATAGTCAAGAGTGAGCTATTCATGTCTGATGTATCTTATGGGCTTTTTCTTCCTTCTTGAAAGCAAGAAGTCCAGAGTGAGTGACAAAAGAAAAATGGTGAGCATAGAAAAGCTCCTTTAATAAGAAGGAAAGAATAGATAGAATAGGAATCTTTAGCATATAAATAAATTTCCTGTTGTTCACTTGTGCCTGGTTAATGCATAAGTTTAAAAACAGGTTTTTATCCTTAAGACCACATTCTAAAGGAGAGATTAGCAGTACAAAAGTAATCACAGCTATTTACCACTTCGCTAAGAAATAATAATTCTCCTGTGCCTGGTGAGAGTATGGTTACGTGCACATTAAATATAGTAAGTCATCATTGATACAGATTTTAATAGCCAGTGAAAAGAAAATAGAAATGTACTGATGTGCAGTGTGGCTTGACAGACAGGCATCAGTCAGAGTTTTTCTTGTATGTGTTCCTATGATGCTGCATGCTTTGGATGTTGCAAAATGTTTAGTCTTTTGGTGATGTTAGCATTAGTTTTCCAGGAGACTTCATTCCATCATCATCCATGAAACTACTTGTTCTCAAAATGCATTAATATGCAGGTAGTGAAACAGTGCAGAGAGGTCTGCAATTCATGTGAAAATGTAAAAATCCCAATTATAACATGGTTTCCCTTTCAAATGAAAATAAGTGTGCTGGCTTCAGGAAACAGGAGAAATGGTTGGTATCCGCAAAGTCTCTTTTATTGTTCTTTACGTTTCACACTTAGGCTAGAGTTCAAATGAAGGACACGTGTATAAAGAGATCTCTGCGTTTGGGAGGATGTTTGACACAGAAAAAGAGCACTGCACAGACTTCAGACAGCCACGTCGTGAGGCATATGGGAGGCAATAGGAAAGGAGAGTTAAGGAATAGGGAAGCTTTGACAAGGAATCTCTTTTTCTGGCTTGTCAATTCCAGTTCAAAGCACAATCTTCTTTTTACTTTATGTAATGAGGCTAAGTCTTTAAAAGTAGAAAAGAGAAAGAAGAAATAAAAAACTTTTCATTGATATTACCTAAGGTTTACAAATCCGTTGTGGTTGTGAGCAAATGGTATGTATATTTCCTGATAACTTGGCTGTGCGTGCAATACGCACAACATTCCCAAGCAAAGTGCTGTGTTTTTCCCCTTAACTGCCTACAGAATATAAGGGGAAGATTTTGGTGCCTCTCGCCAGTGTTGGGTGCCTCCAGCAATCTGAGGTGAAGGGTAGTCAGTTCGAAGCAGCCTGCAGGGCTGGGAGATGCTCTGACCAAAAAGGGCAAACTGTGCTGGTGGGAAGAATTGGGGGAAATAAATGGCATTTCCATGCTCCCTGTGTGGGTTTTTCCTGAAGATGGGAGTACCAGAACTTTTAGCTGTAAACTTTGTAGAGTGAGGGCTTACCTTGTATTGTGTCAGGCAGAACATAGTTTTGAAAAGTGGTATTTTGGAGCATTATGATGTATTTAGGGCCATGAAATACAATATGTGTATTATATTTAGACCTGTTTCAACCTTCTGTGCTTTAAAGCAATGGATCTGCAGCCATACTGTCTTCACAGAGGATCTTGAGCTCTCAAGAATAGCTTTGTGGAAACTGCTATACTACTTTGTAGGACATGTCAGTAAGATGGTAAAGGCCATTTTGAGGCATGATGTCATCTTCTTTCAGTGCTCCTCTTTTTGTTCTCTTTTGAATACCTCCCCCCCCCCCATTTAACTGTCAGACTTTAGAAATCTTTTCATCTCCTAGGATCCCAGCAGAAATTCTAATCAGAATGCAGAGCACTTTCTGCCAGATCAAAGCCCTGCAGTTCGCCTCACTTTGTCCTGCCTCACTGAGATGTCACTGTTTCTCACTTTGGGGTGGTTTTTGGATGATAGAAGCATTAGCATAATGGAGAGAAGTTTTATGGTGACGTAACTCTGCTGATTGTGTGGGTAGGTTTTATGCTAACAAAGATTTTGAATGTGGTGGAACCTGTTGTGAAAGTTTAATGTTGAGATTCCTTGAGAGGCTTTTTAATAGCATTAGACCTATGAGCACAGTGTTGAAAAAAGTGTACAGGCTGCCTGTAAAATGTAGATGTTTGTGCTATGCATGGATATGCTCTTTAAATTCTTGCACAATCTATCTGGAATTTTTCACTGCTTTTACTTGATTGATATTTATGTGTTGGAAATGCAATTATTTTTGCATATTTCGATACACATTACCTGGGATCAGTAGTTGGCTATATTTACAGAATGGTACAATATAAAACTTCTAGAAGTTCTTAAATATGCTATTATTGCATCTTTAATGGTGACTAATTACATTTTTGAAGCTTGATTTCAGCCCTGAAATCATTTTGTGACTATAGCAGTCCTCCGTATATATGAAATTATGTTTATTCCTTCCAATGCCAGTATATCAGTAGTTAGTCCAACATTCATTCCCACTAATAGGCACCTTGTTTCCATTAACCTGTTCCAGTGCAAACTGAAAAAAAGATAAAGAAGAGACATAGACACGCTCTACAATGGACTTGCTTCTTCCTTTGAGGTGCTTTCATTGTCCTAAGGCTGTAGCTTGCATACGTTGTGTCAGTTAGTGGGTCTTGGCTTTAGCTTCCTCCAGAGAATTGTGAGTGTTAAAGCAATAGAGATATAAAAAAAAAATAATCAGAAGAATCTGTGTATTTTTCAAGATATGCAGCAGCTATCTTGAAATGATGTTGAGGAGTGGTGGAAGGGTCTGGGGGAAAAATACCACTGGTAGCCAGGATGGTACGTTTTACCAGTGGGAACCCTCCTCAGCTGAGCAATCCAAAATAAGTTCATTCTCAAAAGATTCAAGCTGCTCTTTGACAGGTTGGGAGAAACAAGGAACGGAAACACCAGAGAGGTTTATGTAATTAGAACATTCAGGTGATTTGCAAGTGATTGACAGGAATATTTATTTTTAATGCACTTGCATTGTGATGGCCAGTGCGTGCTGTTGCTCCACGGAAGAATTGTTGGTCACTATCCAAGCAAGCGCTGTCAGATGTAAGGGGTCCAGTATCACAGAACGATCAGCTCTTTTCTGGCCCCAGCATTCACTCATTTCTACATGGATGTGCACATATGCTTACTCTCCCTGTCATCTTTCAGGCTTATCCATTGTTCAGCCAGAGTCTGAACTACAGTAGTCTTTGGAGAAAATAACCAGCAACTCCATCTCAGAGCCTGGAACCAAATCTCAGCAAGCCTAATCCTCTAGCCATACCTTATTCAAGTAGGTGTCACTGGAACTGTGCTATGAAGTGTGGAATACCCATCAGTAAGGATGTAACACTGAAAAGCATCCAGAAGATTCCCTTCCTGTAACACAGAATTTTTTTAGTCATCTGCTTTTCATAGTTCACCTGTCCTTTTGTATAAGTTTTCCTTCAAGCTTGGCAGATAATGGAAAAGAAGTTTTTAGGCTCTGTGTACAAAGGCAGAAAAAATTGAGAGACTTTCCCTAAACACTACTACTTTCTTTTTTCATGTCGTAGACATTAAAGGGAT